TTTTTCAAATGCTTCGATTTCTTAATCTTTTGATTTTTCGACTTCCCGGTTTTAGATTTTCTGTTTTTCAATTGTCACTTTGTCAATTTTTCGATTTTTCAATTAATCGATGTTTTGATTTTCCCATTTCTTGACCTTCGAGTGTTTCGAGTTTCCTGCTCTTCAATTCTTTAATTTTTTTATTTTTCAGGTTTTAATTTTTCAATTTTTCGATTTTTTAAGGGTTCTATTTTTCGGCTTCACTTTTTTGATTTTTCGATTTTTCAGTTTTCAGATATTTCAGTTTTAGGATTTTTCAATTGTTCGGCTCTTCTACTTCTGGATTTTTCGATGTGTTTACCTTTTTACTTCTTTGATTTTTCAATTTTTGGATTTTTAAATTTTAGATTTTTCAATCTTTGATATTTTAATTTTTCAATATTTCTTATCTTTCGATTTTTCTACTTCCCGGTTTTAGATTTTCTGTTTTTCAATTGTCGTTTTTTCAGATTTTCGATTTTTCAATTTTTCAAATTTTCACATTTATAAACTGTCAATTTTTCGATTTTTCAATTAATCGATGTTCTGATTTTCCCATTTCTTCACTTTCGAGGGTTTCGATTCGATATTCCTGTTCTTCAATTCTTTAAATTTTCGATTTTTCATTTTTTAGTTTTTTTAAAGTTTCGATTTTTCGACTTCACTTTTTGGATTTTTCGATTGCTCAATTTTTCGACTTTTTAGGTTCTCAGTTTTTGGATATTTCAGTTTTCGGATTTTTCAGGTTTTCCATTTTTCAGTTTTTCTTTCATTTTTCAGTTTTTGGATATCTCAGTTTTGGAATTTCTCAATATTTCGATTGTTCGACTTTTCGATTTTTGACTCCTGGACTTTTCGATGTGTTCATTATTTTACTTTTTCGATTTTTAAATTTTAGATTTTTCGATTTCTCGATTTTTTAGTTCAGTTCTTTAATATTTGAATTTTTCAAGTTTTCGAATTTTTCAAATGCTTCGATTTCTTAATCTTTTGATTTTTCGACTTCCCGGTTTTAGATTTTCTGTTTTTCAATTGTCACTTTGTCAATTTTTCGATTTTTCAATTAATCGATGTTTTGATTTTCCCATTTCTTGACCTTCGAGTGTTTCGAGTTTCCTGCTCTTCAATTCTTTAATTTTTTTATTTTTCAGGTTTTAATTTTTCAATTTTTCGATTTTTTAAGGTTTCTATGTTTCGGCTTCACTTTTTTGATTTTTCGATTTTTCAGTTTTCAGATATTTCAGTTTTAGGATTTTTCAATTCTTCGACTCTTCTACTTCTGGATTTTCCAATGTGTTTACCTTTTTACTTCTTTGATTTTTCAATTTTTGTATTTTTAAATTTTAGATTTTTCAATCTTTGATATTTTAATTTTTCAATATTTCTTATCTTTCGATTTTTCGACTTCCCGGTTTTAGATTTTCTGTTTTTCAATTGTCGTTTTTTCAGATTTTCGATTTTTCAATTTTTCAAATTTTCACATTTATAAACTGTCAATTTTTCGATTTTTCAATTAATCGATGTTTTGATTTTCCCATTTCTTCACTTTCGAGGGTTTCGATTCGATATTCCTGTTCTTCAATTCTTTAAAACCTTCAAACTACCGGGTGGGAAAAATTACACATCGTTTCGGGTGGGGTCCGTTTGGACCCCATGGCCTTATTTAGCCAAAACTAAAGAATTAATCAAAAATTTTTGGCGAATCCAAATTATTTATTAATTTTAAACACAACCAAGTTAAAAAAATTACATAACAATATTAAATAAGCATTTTTCGTTACAGTTTTTTGTTCCAGCATTCCTGACATTCAACAGTACGAATAGAATGATCTCGGCAAACAAATCTTTTGCAGGAAATGCAAAAATTTCTTGATTTCTGTCCTTGCTACTTATATAGACGAAACAGCATCCTCGGGATTGTACTGATATCGATTTTGATAACGTGCCATTGGTAAAACAAAATTTAATTTTTTACAGTGATTACATTGTCACACTGACACCAATACTGACACCTGCAAATTTGTATCAAAACTGCAACGCCGCCTATAAACTAGTAAAGAATAAAACAATGGTTTTTGTAAGACTAAATTCTCAGAATAAGACCTGCAGGTGCAATAAAATCTCCAAAATATAGACAAAAAATGCCAACGTAAAGAACCAGGTGGGGTCCATGCGGACCCCAAGAGACTAATTTTTTTTTTTGGTAACAAACTGTTACACCTATACAATTGATATTTTTTGAATGCATAGCAAAAGGTCTTAATCGAAGCTACTAAAAATACCACTATCGTTAAACCAGAAATAACGGGAAAAAATAGGAAAATGTATCAATGGGGTCCATTTGGACCCCACCCGGTAGTTTGAAGGTTAAATTTTCGATTTTTCATTTTTTAGTGTTGTTAAAGTTTCGATTTTTCGACTTCACTTTTTGGATTTTTCGATTGCTCAATTTTTCGACTTTTTAGGTTCTCAGTTTTTGGATATTTCAGTTTTCGGATTTTTCAGGTTTTCCATTTTTCAGTTTTTCTTTCATTTTTCAGTTTTTGGATATCTCAGTTTTGGAATTTCTCAATATTTCGATTGTTCGACTTTTCGATTTTTGACTCCTGGATTTTTCGATGTGTTCATTATTTTACTTTTTCGATTTTTAAATTTTGGATTTTTTAATTTTTAAAATTTTAGATTTTTCGATTTCTCGATTTTTCAGTTCAGTTCTTTAATACTTGAATTTTTCAAGTTTTCGAATTTTTCAAATGCTTCGATTTCTTAATCTTTTGATTTTTCGACTTCCCGGTTTTAGATTTTCTGTTTTTCAATTGTCACTTTGTCAATTTTTCGATTTTTCAATTAATCGATGTTTTGATTTTCCCATTTCTTGACCTTCGAGTGTTTCGAGTTTCCTGCTCTTCAATTCTTTAATTTTTTTATTTTTCAGGTTTTAATTTTTCAATTTTTCGATTTTTTAAGGTTTCTATGTTTCGGCTTCACTTTTTTGATTTTTCGATTTTTCAGTTTTCAGATATTTCAGTTTTAGGATTTTTCAATTCTTCGGCTCTTCAACTTCTGAATTTTTCGATGTGTTTACCTTTTTACTTTTTTGACTTTTCAATTTTTGGATTTTTAAATTTTAGATTTTTCAATCTCTGATATTTTAATTTTTCAATATTTCTTATCTTTCGATTTTTCGACTTCCCGGTTTTAGATTTTCTGTTTTTCAATTGTCGTTTTTTCAGATTTTCGATTTTTCAATTTTTCAAATTTTCACATTTATAAACTGTCAATTTTTCGATTTTTCAATTAATCGATGTTTTGATTTTCCCATTTCTTCACTTTCGAGGGTTTCGATTCGATATTCCTGTTCTTCAATTCTTTAATTTTTCGATTTTTCATTTTTTAGTGTTTTTAAAGTTTCGATTTTTCGACTTCACTTTTTGGATTTTTCGATTGCTCAATTTTTCGGCTTTTTAGGTTTTCAGTTTTGGGATATTTCAGTTTTCGGATTTTTCAGGTTTTCCATTTTTCAGTTTTTCTTTCATTTTTCAGTTTTTGGATATCTCAGTTTTGGAATTTCTCAATATTTCGATTGTTCGACTTTTCGATTTTTGACTCCTGGATTTTTCGATGTGTTCATTATTTTACTTTTTCGATTTTTAAATTTTCGATTTTTTAATTTTTAAAATTTTAGATTTTTCGATTTCTCGATTTTTCAGTTCAGTTCTTTAATATTTGAATTTTTCAAGTTTTCGAATTTTTCAAATGCTTCGATTTCTTAATCTTTTGATTTTTCGACTTCCCGGTTTTAGATTTTCTGTTTTTCAGTTGTCACTTTGTCAATTTTTCGATTTTTCAATTAATCGATGTTTTGATTTTCCCATTTCTTGACCTTCGAGTGTTTCGAGTTTCCTGCTCTTCAATTCTTTAATTTTTTTATTTTTCAGGTTTTAATTTTTCAATTTTTCGATTTTTTAAGGTTTCTATTTTTCGGCTTCACTTTTTTGATTTTTCGATTTTTCAGTTTTCAGATATTGCAGTTTTAGGATTTTTCAATTCTTTGGCTCTTCTACTTCTGGATTTTTCGATGTGTTTACCTTTTTACTTTTTTGATTTTTCAATTTTTGGATTTTTAAATTTTAGATTTTTCAATCTTTGATATTTTATTCCAGTTTTCCATTTTTTCGTTTTTTGATTTTTCCGCTTTTCCAATTTTTCGACTTTTAACTTTTTGTTTATCGATTTCTCAATTTCTCCATTTTTCGAATTGTTAAGTTTTTTGATTTCTCGATTTATCGAGATTTGGATTTTTCGATATTTTGATTGTCAATTTCGCAATTTATATATTGTTCAATTTTTAACTTTTCGATTTTTCGATTTTGGCCTATTTCGGTTTCTCAATTGTTCGACTTTTCGACACCACGATTTCTTGATCTTTTGATTTTTCGATTTTACAGTTATCCGATTTTTTAAATTTGGGGGTTTCGATTTCTCGATTTTTCGTTATTCGGTTTTTAAATTTTAGATTTTTGAATTTTACATTTTTTCAATGTTTCGGTTTTACGATTTTTTAAAGTTTCGATTTTTCGATTATTAGATTTCTCGATTTTTCAAATTTTCGATTATTTTAATTTTTCATTTTTTTTCTCACTGTTTATATCAAACAGTGTATCGAAAACAACCACAAAAATTGTCACTAAAAACATTTCAAAATTCATAAAAAATAGAACACAGTGTTTTCACAACATTTTCCCGAAAAAATCCATTGGGTAATTACGATTTCAACAATATTCTTTGTTTAAGACGTTTTGCTAGTATAAAACACAAATAAAGAATTAATTCTTAGTTAAACAAGTTTTTTTTTATTGGCATCGACTATTTAAATTTGGCGCTTGTCTTTGGCGGTTGAGGACTCCAATGTCAATAAGGGTGGTTTTGCAAAAACAGCATGTATGTCGCATCTATATTAATCTATGGTATTGGTAGCCCTGGTTGTCATTGTACCTAACCTAAGAAAGTAATTCTTAATTATTCCAGTTTATTTTCGCAAAAAGTGACCAGTTTTAAGCCTGCAGCCCTCAATGAACAAACCTCACCAACCAGAACCCAATAATAACAGATATGCAAGACGACAATATAGGTTAGTTTAACATCTGTCCATTCGAAACCTAATTTCTTCCAGCAGGGAGCAGCGCCGACCGAGACATTAACGACGTCTTCAGCGACATTTTCCTGATTGAAAATCGGGCCTTCGAACAAAGTTTCAACGAAGGACGAGACCAAGGTAAAACGGAAGACAACGTGGAAGCATTCCACTTGGGGTATCACCGAGGTGCCGAAATCGGGGCAGAAATTGGTTACTACGCTGCAGTTACTAACCACTTTATACAGAATAAACCTCCAGGTGACGATAAACTTACCAAAGAACTTGCTACCTTGAAACAAATGCTAGTAGAGTTTCCGCGCGAAAACAACCAAGAAGTCGATATAATAGCACAACTGAGTCAAATTCGGGCGAAATTTAAAAAAATATGTGCTGTTTTGAAAATCCAGCCCACGTTTCCTGAGCCAAATCGTCTATCGTTTTGACCACAACGACAATGTGTTCAGTGCCATTAATCAAACAACAAATCGAGAATTTGTTGAAGTTTTTGGAACCGTTTTTGGGGTTTGCGAATTGCCACATGGTCGATTTTTTCACGAATTCGTGCTATAAGAACTTTGTTCCTTCAGATATTCAGCGGGAAATTAACGAAATTGGAGAGGCAAATCTTGTCAATTTGTTGTTCAGGGACGAGTTAGATGGGGCGCCAAGTTTGAAAACTTTCAGCGAAAATAGCGTAAAATTCACGTTAAAAAACACTGAGGTGTGTTTAGGAGTTGACACTTTGATAACTGCATTACAGGATTGGGGCTGCGATAACTTTGATAAATTTAAACTGGAGATGTTCATGACTGCAAAAAAGTCTCATGAAGTTGAAGTTTTAAGCGCTGTGGCTGCATCAATCTCGGAGGTGTCTAAAACCTCGCACGTTGTTGATCTCGGGGATGGCAAAGGCTATCTCAGTTCGATGCTAGCCCTTCATAATAAAATCGCGGTTTTAGGGGTTGACGCGTCCAATATTAACACGTGTGGGGCGATAAAACGCGTCAATAAATTATCGAAGGTGTGGAATAACATTCCAAATGCACCACACAAGTCATATCCAAAGAAAAACCAAAATAGCGAAACCATGAATGTCAATCTGTACAAACAAGTAACCCAATTTGTTGACGAAGATTTCGATTTAGAGAGTTTGATAGTCGAGAATTTTGAAACGACTCCACTTCCGCTCCAGTTAGGCTTAGTTGGTCTGCACACGTGCGGCAATTTAGCCCCCAATTCCTTAAAAATCTTCGTCAAAAACAACGACGTCAAGACCGTTTGTAACGTGGGTTGTTGCTATCACTTGATAACGGAGCGGTTCGATGAAAGCAACGACTGTGATCGAGATATCGGGTTTCCTATGAGCGATTTCCTTACAAAGAAGCGATTATCAATCGGGAGAAGCGCTAGAATGATTGCTAATCAATCGGTCGAGCGTATTCTACAATCGAAAGAATTACCCAACATTACTATATTTTATCGCGCTTTGTTGCAAGTCATTCTCGAACGGTTTTGTCGCGAACTACCCACAAAACACGTGGGGAGGTTTAAAAAACTACCTGAAAGTTTTCACGACTACGTCAGAATAGCGCTGAAACGGATCGAAGTGGATATTAATATCACGGACGAGCAAATCCAGGAGTTTTATTTATCGTACGAAAAACGTCTGAACGAAGTGAATCTTTTTTATTTATTGCGCTGTAAATTGTCTCCGGTTATTGAAAGTTTGATTTTGCTCGACCGGTTGCTGTATTTGAAGGAACGAGGGTTCGAGGAGGCGTTTTTGGTGCGGTTTTTCGACCCCGTGGTGTCGCCCAGGTGCTACGGAATTGTGGCCTTGAAAGACGTTTTTAATAAATGAAAAAAGTATAAGAGTGTTTTATTTTTATTGATTTTTCCTGGTTTGGGACAGTTTTTATCCCATTTGAAATGTCCTGTAAAAACGAGAGAAATTGACTTAGGACGATAGTTTTTTTTTCTTAAGTTCTTGTTAACAATCCGTATTAGACATATTTTGTCCCTCTTGTATTAAAATTTTATTTTCAGTGCTGTTTTCTGTGTAAGAAAAAAGTAAAAACATGCAAAAATGAACTGTCGGTGTTTTATTTTTGATGCTGTATGTAAATTGTAAAAATTGGTCTAAAGTTATTTAGACAGCACTTTCCTCGCTCTTGAAGTCCGGTATAACATATTCAGTTTTGTCAGATAATTGTAAGATTCGATTTAGAGATTTTTTTGCTGATAACGCAGTAAAGAGATCCATCTGGCGAATGACTAATTTTATGTTTTTTTCTTTATTTCCTTTATTTTTTTGTTGCTTCTTTCGATTTACATTTTTTATTTATTCAAGTTTTCAAATTTTCAAGCCTTTATTTTTCAATTCCATGATTTTCCACGTTTAAAATTTTTCAATTTTTGGATTTCCAGTCTTCCAATTTTTCAATTTCTTTAATTTTCAATATTTTGATTTTACAATACATATTTATTTTTTTTATGTATCACTTTTTCGAATTTTAACTTTTTCAAATTTTCGTTTCTTCAAATTTTCATGTTTGATTTTCACTTTTGACAGTTTTAAAGTTTTCATATTCATCGCAAAATTTGTTTATGGAAAAACTCAATTGAAGAAATTCGTAGTACGTCTTTTTACGTTTATTTAACATTACGAACATATCTTTATTTTAACTCATAAAGGTTATCACAAAAAAAATAAAATTCGGAATATCAAATCTTATAATTTTTCGAAAAATCTGGTTTTATTCACCTTCAACCAATTTTTTGACATTTTTCATTTTATTTTTATATTTTTAAATTTTACAAGGTTTTCATTTTATACTTTTTCATTTTTCGATTTATCAATTTCTCAATTTTTAATTTTCCGAATTTTCAATTTTTTTGTGCCTCAATTTTTAAAGACTTGGATTTTTTTACTCTCCTGATTTTTCATTTTCTCGATTTTTTATCACAGTTCTTCGTTTTTTCAATGTTACTTTCGATTTTGTTTCGTTATGCAGTTTTTCAAATTTCCATTCTTTGATTTTTGAATTCCCCGATTTTCCACTTTTTGAATTTTTTACTTTTGTACTTTTTGGATTTCTGATTTTCCGATTTCTTTAATTTTCAATGCTTCGATTTTACAATACATATTTGGTTTTTTCAATTTTACACTTTTTTCGATTGTTAAGTTTCCCAATTTTATTTAATCTTTTGATATTTCAAGGTGGGCGGGGCTTATTTTCATTACAAAATTTTATCACACACTACAAACATATCTTTAGTTAAACTTATAAAGGAATTACATATTTACTTTACATCAATTTTTGCTATCGTAATTTTTCATTTTTTTTTATTTTACAATTTTTTATATCACAATTTTTCGTGTTTTCATTTGCTTTTTAGATTTTTAGATTTTAGAAGGTTTTCATTTTCTACATTTTCGTTTTTCGATTTTTCAATTTCCCAATTTTATTTCATCTTTCGATTTTTAAACTTTTCTTTACTTGAGTTTTTCAAATTCCTGATTTCCAATTTTTAGAATTTTCAAGATTCTCATTTTATATTTTTTTGTTTTTTGATTTTTCAATTTTACAGTTTTGCAATTTTTCCATTATTTCTTAAAACTCGAAATGTTGAAAAATCGAATGTTTGCAAATCGAAGGTTTGAAGAAAGAAAAAATTGAAACGTCGAAAAACTTAAAAATCGAAAAAATTATTGAATCGAAAATTACAGAATCATCAAAATTGTAAAATTGGAAAACTGTAACATTGAAAGATCGCAAAAATTGAAAAATTTCGCCTAAAAGAAAAATTATAAAATCTGACAGAACATGGAAAAACCGAAGAATTTAAAAAATACAGACTACAAAATTTGAAAAATCGAAAAACTTAAAAATCAAAAATAGAAAACTCGTTAAACTGTGCAAACTGAAAAATTGAAATTGAAACAACAAATAATTATAAAATCGAAACATTGAAAAATCGAATAACTGAAAAAATAAAGAAAATAAAAAACGAATCGAAAAGATGAAAAATTTCAAAATTAAAACTTCAAAAACTGCAGCTCCGAAACCGAAGAAACAAAGAAAATGAAAAATTGGTTCTTACTTTTTATTTATACTTTTTCGGTTTTTTATTTTTGATTTTTCAATTTTACAATTTCTTGACTTCTAAATTTTTGAATTTTTCGAGTTGCAATTTTTAATTTTTGCAATTTTTCGATATTACAGTTTTTCATTTTTCGATTTTTCACATTCTCAGTTTTTAATTTTTGTCATTTTCAATTTTTCGTTTCCTTAATTTTTCAAGTTCTCGATTTTTATTTTTCATTTTCCCGATTTTATGTCACAAATTTTCATTTTTTCAATTCTTTTGTTTTTTTGTTATTTCTTTTGATTGTTCAATTTGTCGTTTCTTCAATTTTTTGAATTTTCAGTTTTTCAATTTTTCATGTTACCGATTTTTATTTTTCAATGTGGCGAATTTTTAATTTTTATTTTCTCGATTTATATCACAATTGTCCGTTATTTCATTTCCTTTATTTTCTATGTTTTTTTTCGATTTTACAATTTTTAATTTGTTCAATTTTTCAAATTTTCAGATTTTGAATTTTCAGTTCTACCATTTTTCAATTTTTAGATTTTTCACTCTGCAGTTTTTGAATTTCCAGTCTTCCGATTTTCGAATTTCTTCAATTTTCAATATTTCTATTTTATAATGCATATTTCTTTTTTTTTTTTTGATTTTTCACTTTTTCGATTCTTAAAGTTTTTCAAGTTTTCATTGTGTAATTTTTCGTTTTTTATTTTTGATTTTTCAATTTTACAATTTCTCGAATTTCAAAATTTTCAATTTTTCGGTTTGCATCAGTTTTTCAATTTGGCAATTTTTCAATAATACAGTTTTTCATTTTTCGATTTTTCAGTTTCTCCATTTTTAATTTTTCCCTTTTCCAATTTTTTGTTTCCGATTTTTATTTTTCATTTTCCCGATTTTTTAATTTTCACTTTTTCGTTTTTGTATCACAATTTTTCGTTTTTCATTTCCTTTATTTTTTGTTGTTTCCTTCGATTTTACATTTTTTTGTTTTTTTATTTTAATTTTTCAATTTTACAATTTGTCGACTTCCAAGTTTTCCAATTTTTCAATATTACAATTTCTTATTTTTCCATTTTTCACATTCTCGATTTTTAATTTTTCCCTTTTTTTATTTTTCATTTTCTCGATTTTATATCACATTTTTTTTTGTTTTTTCATTTCCTTGATTTTTGTTGTTTCTTTCGATTTTCTAATTTTTCAAATTTTCAGGCCAATCGATTCCAATTCGTCGATTTTCCAATTTTAAAATTTTTCAGTTTGCAGTTTTTGGGTTTCCACCATAGATCATAATAATTTATTATATGATCTAAGGTTTCCACCCCTTTTTTCTTTATGAATTTTCAATTTTTCGTTAAACTTTAGATTTTTCACATCTTCGACAGTTTTATATTTCGATTTCTCTTTTTTTTCAACTTTTCGATGTTTTAATTTTTCTTTTTTAAAATTTTTCAATTTTTTTTATTTCTCGATTTATCGAATTCTCAATTTTTTTCTATTTCTCGATGTTTCGGTTTTTCAGTTATCCGATTTTGCAATTTTTTTAAATTCTGGAGTTTCGATTTGTCGATTTTTAAGTTTTAAATTTTCGAATTTTTCTTTTTTGATTCTTTGATGTTTGGATTTCTCCAGTTTTCAATTTTGCGATATTTCAATTCGGTTTTTTAAATTTTAGATTTTTCGATTTCTAGATTTTTTGATTTTCCAGTTCTTCAGTATTTATATTTTCCATTTTTTTAAATTTTGAAGTTGCTAAATTTTCCAGATTTTTCAATTAATATATTTTTTTGATTTTTCCGTTTCTCGAATTCGCAGTTTCGATTTTTCAGTTCTTCAATTCTTTGATTTTTAGATTTTTCGCTCGACCAATTTTTTTAATTTCTCAATTTTGAATATTTGTTTTGGGATTTTTCAGTATTTCTCATTTTCGACTTTTCGATTTTTTATTTTTAGGATTTTCGTTTTTTAAACTTTAGATTTTTCTATTTTCGACTGTTTTATATATATATATTTCGATTTCTGAATTTTTCGACTTTTCAGTTCTTGTATATTTTAATTTTTTTTGTTTCTGAATTTTTATTTTTCGATTTTTCAATTTTTTGAGAACTCGATTTATCGAGATTTGGATGTTTCGATTGTCTCAGTTTTTGAATTTTTCACTGTTTCGATTTTTGAATTATCCGATTTTTCAATTTTCTAATTTTTTAAATTATCAAGTTTTAATGTTGCTGAATTTTCAGTTTTCCGATTTCTCAATTAATCTATTTTTTGATTTTTCCATTTTCGACTTGCCAAGGTTTTGATTTTTCAGTTTTTCAGTTCCTCAATTTTTCGATTTTTCAGGCTCTAGATTTTTCAATTTTTCGATTCTTTAGGTTTGCAATTTTTCGGCTTTTTGATTTCCCAATTTTTAATTTCACAATTTTTGGATATTTCGTTCAGTTTTGTGAGTTTTCTCAGTTTTTCGATTCTTCAATTTTTCAATTTTGGGATTCTTTGGTATTTCGACTTTTGGATTTTTCACGTTCTTGATTTTCGATTTCTCGATTTTTCGTTTTTTGAACTTCCGGTTTTCCCAATCTTTCAACTTTTCGATATTTTAAGTTTTCAATTTTTAAAATTTTTGGTTTTTCGATCTCGAGTTTCAGTTCTTCTATATTTGAATTTTTCAATTTTCAAAATTTAAAGTTAATTATGTTACTTTTTTAAAAGACACAGTAGAAGAACACGTAAGATACGGCCATTCGTTATAATGATTTACTAGATTGGACACAAAAAGTCAGAACACCAGAGAGTTTATACTCAACTGTTATGACAATTCTGAGTGATACCACCTTAAGCGGGGCAATTTTACATGTTTGTCTACACGGCGATAGGTGGCGCCCAAATCACTCCTCTGTTTGACGTTTAAAACAAAAACCACTTTACTCACAATATCTTTTATTCATCATCTGTTACAACTAAACCCATCTTAAAAAAGGTTCGTAAGTATTAAGTACCATTCTCAACTTTGCTCTATATTCAGTCGTTTCTAAAAGCAAATCACTACGAATCTTTAATAAGTAAATCGCTTTGTATAAAAATACGATTCCAGTTACACTACCAACACGGCAAGCCATTAAAACAATTGCACATTTAGTTTACATGTAAAATTTAGTAAAAAAGGCTTTCCAACAAGATACAACAAATAAATAATTTTTGATAAAAATTAACAAAAACAGATTACAGGAGCTAATACATGATCTAATACTAGTTCTCTCACTAAATTTAGAACTAGTATAAGACGTGGCTACAAATATGTACAAAAATAACCTAAAGTAGCTAACTTCACCTCTTCCGAGAGGCCACAGCAGCTACTAACGCCGCCCCACGCCCGCTCCCGTCCTCGGACAACATCAAGTCGAACACGATTCCGGGGTTGATCAACTCGGATATCTTCTCCATCATCAGATTGTGGAAATGGGGGTGGTACCTGTACAGCGACCCATCAATCCCAACGGTAACCCTCGGCTCGTTGATTTTATTCAAAAGGGTGGCGATTCCAGCGGACGCTAGATGTGCAGCTCTCCTCGACACGCACTCACACACATATCGCACGTTAATGCAGTCTTGCTCAGTCGCATGCTTAAGACCTGTGGAAATTAAAATTGAAAATTCGTACTTGATGCACCTTCCACGACGTACCTAATTCTTCTAGAATCTCTTTACAATTCGTGAACGTCCCAGGGGCGTCGGTTTCGATCTCAGACACGTACTTCGTGTAGAACCGGTCCCGGGTGGAGAGAGCCTCGGAGCCTTTGCCCCCGAACAACAAACCGTCTTTGCAGAAAACCTCCAGAGCTAGTCGGACGAGCTCCCCCATGTACATTCCAGAAATCATTTTCTCGTGGCTGTTTTGTATTTTTGAATTAGAACAGTTTTGGTTGTCGTATTAATTAAACTCACAGTTGTTTGCCTGGATTTACTGAGTTTTGGTCGATGATTTTGTCGTAGTCGACTCTGACGAAGTCTAGGGATCCGTCGTCCCCAAAAGCGCCCCATTCGGTGTTGATTAAGACTTTGCCTGAGCCGGCGTCGGGTTCATCCATGTTTTCCACGTTTTCTCGCGACTCGACGTAGCAGGCGTTGGTTCCCGTACCTACGAACACGAATATTTAAATTTGGCGCCAAAGCACAAGCCATCTAGCGACGGGAAGATCAAGCAATTAGTTAGCAAGAGTTGGGACTGGTCTCTTAAGTTAGCAAGCAAAATTAACCTACCGATAATCAAACCAATCCGGCAATGGCGGTTTTTCCATGCACACGACATGAGTGTTCCCGTTGTATCATTAAGCACAGCGCATACGTCGATCTTAATATCCTAGAAAGGAACACAGACATGCATAAGGGAAGAAAAGGCGGGATTTTCGAAAAGTGCATGCATCGTGAACCAACTAAAGACTCACCGATTATAACCCCAATTCGACAATAACGATTTTTCCAAGCACAGGACATCAGAGTTCCTGTAGAGTCATTTAGAATCGCCATTACGGAAAGATCTATATCCTGGAATTATATGTGAGGTGTTGGAACAACAAGATGCATGCGGTATATTCAGTGTAATGTTTGTTTTTGCGCAGCCAAATTTTAATAATTCAATCATTGTTTAAGTATATTATCATTGTTTAAGTATATTATAGTTGGACAACCTATACGGACAATCACTTTCCCATGTAAAAAAGAATGAATATATATTTTACATCTCACTCGCTTCACTATGAAGTGGCGGTACCTTACGAAAGGGGGTAAAAATAGTCCGTAAGCACGTGATGTCGATAAGGTAGTAAACAGACGTATTAATCAGTACGTTGTACGGGGAGCAGTCACAAAATAAGCAAACGTACGTGTTGAAGACTTTACTGCAATATATGTATATGTAGTGCATACCTGTTTCAAGGTTAAGGTAACAAAAATTTAATATTATCGCGGTATACCTATTATCCATGAACAGCATGGCTAACAAATATGCGTCCCTTCGTCCACTTTAAAGGTATACGAAATTAAACGACCACTACTTTAATTAATAAGTAACAAGTCATCTAATTTGCCTCCAGAATAACTATGGATTATCATCAAACTATGAACACCAAATTAATTCAATATGAACATCTTGTTACGTATTTTTTTTATTAACAGTAGTCAAATCATTAAATACATATTATTTTTGAAACTAAAATGCATTTTATCCTAAGACTGTATCACAAAATATTCATCACCATTTAAATATATACGATTTAGACATCAAGAAATAAATTTAAAATTGCAAAAATTATACTAAAACAGCCTTAAATGTGTCTTGTATGTACGTGCTTATCAGTATGTAGGCATTTTAACGCACAGCAATAATCGTTCTTGATGAGTAATGACTGATGACTACTGTAACACAGTAAATCCTCGAAATCGAAAATTTAAAACACTGAAAAATTCAAATATGGGAAAATTGTAAAATCGAGAAATCGAAACATAAAAAAATCAAAAAAATTAAAATTGGAAAACCTAAAAATTAAAAACCGAGAAATTGAACAATCGGTTAATTCAAAAATCGAAACATCGAAAAATTGGAAAATCGAAAAATAAAAAAAAATTGGACAATCGAAAATTTAAAAATTCCGAAAATTGAAAAATTGAAATATAGAGAACTGAAAACTCAAAAAATCGAAAAAAATTAATAATTTCAAAAATCGAAAAGTTAAAATTGAGAAATCGAAAAACTGAAAAATCACAAAATTGAACGAAATATCAAAAAATTAGGAAATTAAAAAATTGAGAAACAAAAAAGTCAAAAAAGCAGAGTCTAAAAATCGCAAACTTAAAAAATCGAAAAATTGAAAAATCAAAAACCTGAATAATCGAAAAATTGAAGAACTGAAGAACTGAAAAATCGAAACTTTAGGAAGTGGAGAAATGGGAATGTAAAAAAATAGATTAATTGAGAAATCCGAAAACTAAAAATTCAGAAACGTCAAAATTTGAAAAATAAAAAAATAGTGAAGAACTAAAAAATCGAAAATTTAAAATTTAAAACACTGAAAAGTTAAAATATCCTAAAACTGAAAAATGGAGAAATCCAAACATCAAAAAATCAAAAATAAAAATAAAATTAAAAATCTAAAATTTAATAATCGAAAAACTGAAAAATCAACGAATCGAGAAGTCGAGAATTTAAAAATTGGACAATTGAAAAATCGGATAAATCAAAAATCGAAACATCCAAAAATCAAGAAACCGAAAAGCAAAAAATCGAAAAACCAACAAATCGAAAAATCGAAACATTGTAAAATTCAAAAATTGAGACATCGAGAAATCGAAAAATCAAAAAATTGAGAAACCGAAGTAGGCCAAAATCGAAAAATCGAAAACTTAAATATGGAAAAATTGATAAAGCGAGATTGAATAATCAAAACATCGAAACATCCGAATCTCAATGAATTGAGATCTCAAAAAATTTAAACATTCGTAAATTTAAAAAATTAAAATATAGAACTGGAAACTCGAGAAACTGAAAAATCTAGAAATTTAAAAATTAAAATATGAAAAAGTTGAAAAATTGAGAAATTGAAATAAAAAACAAAAAACTGAAAATCCAAAAATAAAAAATAGAAAAATCTAGAAGTCGAAAAATGAAAGAATCGAAGTATTGAAAAATATCAAAACTGAAAGAAATATCCAAAAATTGAGAAATCGACAAACCAATAAAGCGAAGTCGAAAAATCGAAGAATTGAAGAACTGAAAAATCGAAACTTTGAGAAGTGGAAAAATCAAAAATAGATTAATTGAGAAATCAGAAAACTGAAAATTTAACGCAAAAATTTGAAAAATTCAAAAATTTAAATACTGAAGAACTGAAAAGTCAAAAAATCGAGAAATCGAAAAAACTAAAATTTAAAACGATGAATAATTAAAATATCGCAAAATTGAAGAATCGAGAGATCCAATTCAATTTGAAAAATTGAAAAATCGGGGCATTTAAAAATTAAAAAATCCAGAAATTGAAAAGCTCAAAAGAAAAAAATCGAAAAACCGAGAAATCCAAAAATCGAAACATCGAAAAATTCAAAAACTGAGACTTCGAGAAATCGAAAAATCGGAGGATCGAGAAATTGAGGAGTCGGAAGCCGAAAAGGAAAGTTAAAAATTGAAAAATTGAGAAATTGAACAATCAACACAACGAAACATCTGAATTCGATAAATTAAGAAATTAAAAAATTGAATAATCGAAAAATTTTAAAAAAGAAAAACTGGAAAATCAAAAATTAAAATTCAAAAAATCGAAAAATGAAAAATTGAAATATAGAAGAACTGAAAACTCGAGATATCGAAAAACCTAGAATTTTAAAAAATGAAATATTAAAACATCGAAAAGTTTAAAAATTGAGAAATCGAAGCATTAAACAGTCCCAGAATTGAAAAATCTAAAGTTTACAATAAATTGAAAATCCAAAAAGGAAAAAGCGAGAAATCAAAAAAAATCCATCAATTCAAAAATCGAAAAGTCGAAAAATTGAAATATTGAAAAATTTCATAACTGAAAGAAATATTCAAAAAATTGAGAATTTAAAAAATTGGAAAATTGAGAAATCGAAAATCTAAAAAAGCAAAATAGAAAAATCGTAATCTTAAAAAATCGAAAAATTGAGGAATTGAAGATGTGAAAAATCGAAACTTTAGGAAATCCAGAAATGGACAAATAAAAAAAATACTTTAGAAATCGGCAAACTGAAAATTTGAAAAATTGAAAAATCGAAATATTTAAAAACCGTAAAATTGAAGGGGACAAAAATTGAGAAATCGTATCATTGAAACATCGTAAGATTGAGAAATCGAAAAATAAAAAAATCGAGAAATAGAAAATTTAAGGAATGGAGGAATCGGAAAAGCCCAAAATTGAAATATTGAAAAATTGAGACATTTAAAGTTGAAAAATCGAGAAATCGACAAGCCGAAAAATCCCAATAGCGTATTTAGGTATAAATCACAAGATCAGGACTATTCTACTTTTTAAAATTTAAATACATAACATTATAAATTGGAAAATGTTGATTTTTTTTTCCAAAAATCTTGACGTCTAAGGTGAAAACTCGACACGGATGCATAAACCGTAAACGGGGCAAAACTACAATTTTACTATTGTAAAATTTGGAGACTGCGTCATTTCATTGTTCGTGACAAATTTTGGAGAGTGTAATTTGATAATACAGTTTGAAATGTAAATTTTGTCATTCGGGGACATTATGTATTAAATCGTTAAGATGTTCAAGAACTTTGTTCACTTATTCGTTGTAAAGTCCAATGGTCGAAATGGGTTAGTTCTTCGTAGTGGATGTGTATCACATCAACTCTAACGAATATCGGTTTATAGATAAATCGCTTAAAGCCGATATTGGCCTGAGTGTGCTTTGGTCTGTAGATCAAACAAGTTCTCAGGCGACGAAAAATTGCATGTGGAGTGAGACTTCGGATTACAAATCGTGCCAAGAAAGACATATTTGGGAGAGATGGATTTTCAGGTGCTTGACTAGCGGTAATTTTAAATTGTTTGCTGTCGTTCGCGAAGTGAAGAACACAATTTTATTAAAATGATAATTATAAAATCATCATAATCACTATTGGTGTTAATTAACACAAAATGGCGCGCAAGTTATCAGTTGATTTCGTTAATAAATTCATAGAAACCTATATGGGATTTTTTCATGCCTTAGAAAATTAAAAAGTAAAAAATACAATAACAAAAATTTTAAAATGCGGTTTACGAAAAATTAGTTGACCTGTGCAAAGAATAAAATTTTGGAAACGCTGACAAATATGACATCTTAAAAAAAATAACACTTGAAGAAGTGCTTTCGGCGTAATATTTTTGATGCTCGCGTGAACAAAATACTCTATATCAGTGTGCAGTGCGCAAAGAGTTAACTGTGCAGATCTAGCCGAAAATCCGAAAACCAAATCGTTGTGTGTAGGGCCAGCATAACGGAAGTAATAAATCATCCCATCGGTTGAAGAACGTTGGGTTGGTGCACTGATGTCGGTGTTATATCCCGAGAGGGGCCCAATACACCCAATAAAATGGAACAGACAAAATAAAGCTTCAAACATAATTATTTCTATACTAAAATTCTGAAGTTTATAAACTGCACATTTTATTTATTTATTTATTTATTTATTTATTTATTTATTTATTTATTTATTTTATCTTGTTTTCGAACTATAATAAACATTTCAAACAATATCTGTAACTTATTTTAATGTAAATTATATTCATGTGGTTAACAAATCAGATGTAATATTAGTGTGATTTTGACCTTATTCTAGATTTTATTACAGCAGAACGGCGTATCCTTTTTAAATTTTAAAAGTTACGGAAACTAGTTCAAGAAACAATTAGTTATCTCGTATTTTTGGAACAAAATCTACCAAAATTTCCGATAACAGCAATTGTTTTTCATAGAAACAAACAGTCTTCAAAGCAGCCTTTAACAACTCGATATTACAAACATGCCTCTTAAGTTCTTAATGCGTTTTTTTCTCTCTTGTAATTATTTGTAATGTTAACGCCGAAAGTTTATGTCATTCTGTTATTTACTTTGAACATATATTTTCATTTTGTGTTAATATTTTTGTAACACCACGAATCTAAATTTTACTTAAAATCTTGTTTTACTTTAATCTTGTAAAACTAAACAATTATACCAGTTTAAAAACCCTTGGAAAGTTTCTGTCAGTCTTCAGATATAGTCAAATAAAAATATGCGTCAAATTCATTTAAATTCAATTCTTTCTTATCACGTTACAACGCGTTGCTTCATATTTTTTATGTCAAGTATATTTTTTTATTTTGTACATATATGTCTATACACATTACTCCTTACGGAACAATGTTAATTATGGATTTATGGATAACTCCTCGTATAAGAGACGAGTGAAGGGTGTTTGCCTTTGCTAATGTTTGATGGCGCCATCTGAAGTAGAGTAAAATAAACCTAATACGTTCGCTCACTGTAGTGAAAATGCGCGTTGACGAAAAATTTGTCCCACGCCCCCTGGATTCCTTGTCCTAAAGCTCACTATTTAGCCGAAGTAAAATTTGTATTAGGTTGTCCAACTATAACATACTTAAACAATGATTCAATTATTGTCGTAACAAGTTGGTTAAAATTTGGCCGCGTGCTAGCCGAGTCCACGTACCCCTCTCCTGGCGATGGCGTCCTTGAGTAGCTGAACCACGTCGTTGCCGATGACGCCCGAGCAATTAAACCCTTTGGTCCAGCGCTCCAGAAGGCCCTTAGTCAGACCCTTCTGCATCAAAGGAAAACTGAAAGTGAATCCCAGCGGGAGCACTTCGTTCATGATCTTCTCGGCCTTCATGAACTGGGCCAGACAGTCGGCGATGTGGTCGAACAGCTGTTCGCCCGAACCCAGCATGATGTGTTGGGGTACGGCGAAGATTTTCGACCGCATTTCGAAGTGGTTCTTGTTGAGTTCGATGAGGAGGACGCGGAAGTTGGTACCGCCGAGGTCCAAGGCGAGGAATTTGCCGACTTCTGGAAATTTCCGAGATTTCGGTTAACGGTACACGAAAAGGTGTGAATGATATTACTTTTATTTACATTTCGTGTTTTGAAAAGGTCATTGTCTTGCATATCGATTGGTGAATAATGAAGTGCATATTTTACCATGTTATTAAATTAAATGTATGCCTGGGTGATTGTCACGTTTTTCGTTTGAATACGGTCAAAGAAAAGTGAAACGCACCTGTTCCATCTGGAAGGTCTTGAACGTACGTGATGAAACATTTCACGATGGATGACGGATGGGTCTTCTTTCCGAGACCTTTTTTGATATCATTTAGCAAATTTTCTTTGTACTTTTCCAGCTGACTGTTGTCGAGGACGAGTTCTTTGCATCTCTCGCGGATCTGAAACAGAAAACAAATTATTTTAAATGATTTCTATAAATGGAAGGTAAATAAGTTTTTTCCTGTATAATGACGATGAATGTACAATTATTGCGATGAATAAACAATTTTTGAAGTCCGCCTAGTGTCAGTGTGCAATCATTACATAACTAACATGAATTTCTATTGTCTCTCTTCAAAAGTTTTCTCTGAATTGTTGACTCACTCAACTGTGTCTGCGTCCTTAAATCTGAGCCACATCTAGCCATCAAAATCAATGATCACAGAAGAAGATAAATAGCTATCAAGACTCGATCAAAGGTTACCCCAAGATCATTACTCGTGAATAATGGAGTCGCCAAAACTAACCTTACTAACGTTAAAACTCGAAACAAAGGTCATTCACGAAAAGAAGAAATATAACCGCCCCAGGTTCGGGCCTTGAGGAACGCCAACGCAGAGAATTTGGTGCCAAATACGTCATCCAAATAATACGGATTTAAGCATTTCTTATCAAACCTAGATCAATCATGATTTGGAATTTCAAAAGAATTACTTTTTGTATTAAACTCATACAGGATTTTCAAAATAACTGAAATGATAAGATAATAAACTTATGACAAATTAAAAATCACCTCAATTGTTCTTGTCTAGTCGTATTTTGCAACGCTGTCGACCGATTAAGCGATAAATACAATCTTTACAAAGAATTTTCTGTTTTGTTAACCCATTTGTCACAACTCACTATCATGAGATTGTTTGTATTTTTCTTTTTATTTTCACAAACAATTAAAAATATCTTCATTGCATACCATTTCCTTTGACTGTTATAGACTGTTTTTCGAATTAACTGGTCAATATCTACATCTCATCGTGGAAAATTATGTAAAGCCTTTTTTCGTTGATTTCGATTTGCAAGAGTCATTTACGGCAAATTTTCAGAATCACCAAAATGAAATATGTAAGTTTTTTGGAAATTTAAACTTTTATTTTGAAACGGAAAATTTTAAAAATCGTGATTTGAGACCAGGAATATATTATATTTTTCGAATCAGCTACAACCTATATCCGAGAATTTTTTGTGGATTTTTTGCAAAGTTTGCCAAAAGCTTGAATTTCCAAAATTATGAAATTTAAATTAAATGCATTTTTTAAATTAAAGTAAATCACTGAACAATATTAAGAATAATCGCTGAAATGAGGAGGGGGTGGGTGGGCGGGGCTACTGCTTACTTATAACATGGCCGACTAGTATAAAGATTATGGCCTGTCCAAAGGAATGCCAAAGGTACCATACGTGCTGCCATCTATTAATAATTCAAAATCGACAAAAGAATTATTAACACCTTTTGAAAGGCACAAAGGCATTCATACCCAAACAAACCACCATTACACGTTTTGGAGTCCCATAATGTCAAGTCAAATTAAAATTTTGCTAAATTATTAAGTGTAATTATTAATAGATGGCAACACGTATCGTACCTCTTGGACAGGCCATAATCTTTATACTAGTCGGCCATGCTTATAAAAGACTTTCCAGGAAAAAGTTAATCTTAGCCCCGCCTACCCACCCGTTCTGCCATTTTTTTTCTTCTGAAATAAGAAATTGTTCTTATAGCAAATAGTAATGAAGAGGGGGTGAGTGGGCGGGGCTATTGCTTGCTTATAAAACACTCTAAGAAAAGTCACACTTAGCCCCGCCCACCCACCCGTTTTCTTTTTCTTCTGAAATAAGAAATTGATCTTATAGCAAATCGTATAACTAAAAATTACGATTACCGCTCTTTTTAACAAGCTGCATTTTATTAAATCTCATTCTCACTCTACAAAAAACATAATTAACCCCGCCCACAGCAAGTTACGTTTTTCGATACTGCTCGTCGACGTCTATATACCAGAATTTTTTGTGTTTTTTTTTTTTTAGAAACTTTGTCAAAAGTTTAAATTTTTCCATTTTTTGAGATTTTTTACTTTTTCCAAGCACCTTTGAAATTACCTAAAACCATTTTTTCGTTGATTCCGATTTGCAGAAGTCATTTTCGGGAATGTTTGTTCGAAAATCCACCAAAATAAAATATGGCCATTTTTTGGGTTTTTGAAAATCTTAATTTTGAAACTGAAAATTTAAAACTCTTGATCTGGAACCAGCAACATATTATGTTTTTCAAATCAGCTCTTCAATACAACCTATATGCGAACATTTTTTTTTGGATTTTTAAAAGTTTGTCAAAAATTTTAATTTTCAAAATTTGGAAATTTAAATTAAAAATTTTTGTTAAGTTAAACTAAATAACTGAACAATATTAAGGGTAATCACTGGAATGAAGAGGGGGTGGGTGGGCGGGGCTATTACTTGCTTATAAAGGACTAAGAAAAAGTTAAACTTAGCCCCGCCCACCCACCCGTTCTAGCATTTGTTTCTTCTGAAATAAGAAATAAAACTTATACCAAATAGTATAACAAAAAATTACGATTAGCCTTTTCCAAGCACCTTCGAAAATTACTCAAAGCCTTTTTTCGTTGATTTCGATTTCCAGAAGTCATTTTTGGCAACGTTTGTTCAAAAACTCCAACCACATTTCCAGAATCATCAAAGTGAAATACCGAAATGTTTCGAATTTTAAAAACTTTTATTTTGAAACCGAAAATTTCAAAAATCTTGGTCTAGGACTAACAGCAAGTTATGTTTTTCGAATCTGCTCATCGATGTCTACTTATATACCAGAGCTTTTTCTGGTTTTCTACGAAACTTTACCAAAAGCTCAAATTTTCAAATTTTTAACTTTTGCTAAGCCTAAAACCATTTTTTCGTTGATTCCGATTTGCAGAAGTCGTTTTTGGCAACGTTTGTTCGAAAACTACGCCAAAATGAAATATGGCCATTTTTGGGATATTTGAAAATCTTAATTTTGAAACCGAAAATTTTAAAAATTGATTTGGGACCAGCAACATATATCTTTTCCAAAATCAGCTCTTCAATACAACTGATTTCCGAGAATTTTTGTGGATTTTTAGCAAAATTTAACAGTTTGAATTTTCAAAATTTTGAAATTCAAATTAAATTTATTTTTTAAATTGAAGTAAATGACTGAACAATAGTAAGAGCAATCACTGGAATGAAGAGGGGGTGGGCGGGCGGGGCTATTATATATATATTATATTATATATATAGAGATTTCGAAAAATCGAAGACTCAAAATATCGAAAAATGGGAAAATTGTAAAATCAAGAAATCGAAATTAAAAAATTTCGAAAGGCAAAAAGACAAAAAAACGAAAAACCCAAAGTTTAAAAATTCGAAATCGAAAAATCTAAAACTGAAGATTCGAAAAATTGAAAAATAGATCTCTTAAATTGAAATATATCCCAAAAGTGAAAACCGACAGAGCCCAAACGAAAAATTAAAAAATTGGACAATCGAGAAATCAGAAAGTCGAAACATCGAAAATTTAACAAATCAAAAAATTGAAAAAACGGAAAACCTAAAACCGAGAAGTCGAAAAATCGAAAGCTCGAGAAATCGAAACAACAAAAAAATTAAAAAAAACTAGAAAAATTGGAAAATAGGAAATTCAAAAACTAAAAATCGAGAAACGAAAAATTAAAAAGTAAAATAATGAAAAATCGAAAAACTGTAGAACGGTATTGAAAATCAGAAATCGAAAAGTCAAAAAACTGAAGAATCGAAAAACTGAAAACTTGAAAAATGGAAACATCGAAAAAATAAAAAAACCGAGACATCGAAGCATTAAACGATCGAGAAGTCGAAATAGCCCAAACCAAAAATAAAAAATTGAAAAACTGGGCAATCAGAAATTCGAAAAATCGAGAATTTAATAAATTGAAAAAACAAGAATCTGAAAAATCGAACAATTTAGAAAACCGATAAATCGAAAAACTGAAAAATTGAAACATCAAAATCATGATAAGTGAGAATTCGAAAAATCAATAATTATTAAAAAAATCGAAACATCTAAAAATTAAAAAATTTGAAAATGGAGAAATCGAAAAACTTAAAATTTAAAATATCGAAACACTGAAAAACCGAAATTTAAAAAAATACAGGTATTAAAGAATTGAAAAATCCTAACCGATATCCGATGATTTTTTCTGGATTTTTAGCAAAATTTGACAACTTGAATTTTCAAAATTTTGAAATTCAAATTAAATTAATTTTTAAATCGAAGTAAATGACTGAACAATAGTAAGAGCAATCACTGGAATGAAGAGGGGGTGGGTGGGCGGGGCTATTATTTGCTTATAAAAGACTTTGTAAGAAAAAGTTAAACTTAGCCCCGCCCACCCACCCGTTCTTTCAGTTTTTTCTTTTGAAGTAAAAAATAAATCATATAGCAATTAATTACAACTAGTACTTTTTGTAACAGCGTCGATTTTATTAATTCCCATTCTCACTCGACAAAAGAACATATATTTAAACCCGCCCACTCACCCCGCCTTCATTTCAGTGATTTATTTTATTTAGCCGGAATGAAAGGTGGATCTCATACTGAACAGAAATAAAATCGTAAGAATGAGAACAGCGCGGGTTACCGGGCCTAGTACCTGCTACGACAAGACTGATTTTGGCCAATGACATCCCTTCCAGGAAAATTGAGGGTGGGTGGGCGGGGCTAGTATTTGCCAAGATAAGACTGATTTTGGCAGATAACATAGCCTCTAAGAAAACAGAGGGCGGGTGGGCGGGACTACTATTTCTTATGTTAAGACTGATTTTAGTAAATGACTGAATAATATTAAGAGTAATCACTGGAATGAAGAAGGGGTGGGTGGGCGGGGCTATTGCTTGCTTATAAAAAACTCTGTTAGAAAAAGTTAAACCTAGCCCCGCCCACCCACCCGTTCTGTCATTTTTTCTTCTGAAATAAGAAATAAATCTTACAGCAAATAGTATGTATTAGAAAAAATTACGACAAGCGCCTTTTTTACCAGCTTACATTTTATTATTATTATTATTATTATTATTGCTTACTTATAAAAGACTGTAAGAAAAAGTTAAACTTGAATTTTCAAAATTTTGGAATTTTTGACCATTTCCAAACACTTTCGAAAATTGCGTGAAGCCATTTTTTCGTGATTTCGATGTACAGAAGTCATTTTCGGCAAAGTTTGTTCGAAAATTCCGACCACATTTCCAGAATCACCAAAATGAAAGACGGTAATTTTTGAGAAATTTAAAAAATTTTGATGTTGAAATCGAAAATTTCAAAAGCTTAATCTGGGACCAACAAACTACGTTTTTCGAATCTGCTTGTCAATCTACCTATATACTAGAATTTTGTTTTGGATTTTTAGCAAAGTTTGCCAAAAGCTTCAATTTTAAAAATTTTGGACTCTAAATTAAATGAATTTTTTTAAATAAAGTCAATGACTGAACAATATTAAGAGCAATCACTGGAATGAAGAGGGGGTGGGTGGGCGGGGCTATTATTTGCCTATAAAAGACTTTGTAAGAAAAAGTTAAAGTTAGCTCCGCCCACCCACCCATTCTTTCATTCTTTTGTTCTGAAATAAAAAATAAATCTTATAGCAAATAGGATAACAAAAATTTACGATTAACGCCTTTTTTTAACAGTCTACGTTTTATTAGTTCCCATTCTTACTCTACAAAAGAAAATCTAATAAACCCCGCCCACCCACCCCGCCTTCATTTCAGTGATTCATTTTATTTAGCTCGAACAGAAATAAAATCGTAAGAATGAGAACAGCGCGGATGAGCGGGTCTAGTACCTGGGGTGCGATTTTGTTTCTCGATCGAAAAAAACTCGATAACGATAAAATCTCGTTTGCTGATTGGTTGAGAGGCTGAGTTGGTGAGACATTTCTGTCACATTTCTCGATTCTGTCACGAAATCAAGTCTTCATGGAGTGATATTTTCTGGATAGCTCTGAATGAAGTGATAAATTTTGGAGACATAACCTCGAAATTTATGTCAAAATAGAAGTTCAAAATCGTAATTCTGAGTTATAAGTTCTTAAAATTAGGATAATTGTAAACTTTTGAGCATTTAATAAGCCTTTATGTAAAGAATAAATGCAAACTTTGCATTTAAAAGCTACGCAATGACATTTATCGCAAGTGATAATTTATCACTTCGATCAAGAAACAAAATCCCACCCCTACCATAAGACTGATTTTGGCCAATGACATACCTTCCAAGAAAATTGAGGGTGGGTGGGCGGGGCTAGTATTTGCCAAGGTAAGACTGATTTTGGCAGATAACATAGCCTCTAAGAAAACAGAGGGCGGGTGGGCGGGGCTAGTATTTTTTATGTTAAGACTTATTTTAGTAAATGACTGAATAATATTAAAAGTAATCACTGGAATAAAGAGGGGGTAGGTGGGCGGGGCTATTGCTTGCTTATAAAAGACTCTGTAAGCAAAGTAAAGGTTAGCCCCGCCCACCCACCCGTTCCTTCAGTTTTTTCTTCTGAAGTAAGAAATAAATCTTATAGCAAATAATGACGACTAGCACTTTTTTTAACAGCCTGCATTTTATTAATTTCTATTCTCACTCGACAAAAGAACATATAATTAACCCCGCCCACCCACCCCTCCTTCATTTCAGTGATTCATTTTATTTAGCCCGAATGAAAGGTGGATCTCCTACTGAACAGAAATAAAATCGTAAGAATCGGAACAGCGCGGGTGAGCGGGGCTAGTACCTGCTACGATAAGACTCATTTTGGCCAATGACATACTTTCCAAGAAAATGGAGGGTGGGTGGGCGGAGCTAGGATTTGCCAAGATAAGACTGATTTTGGCAGATAATATAGCCTCTAAGAAAACAGAGGGCGGGTGGGCGGGGCTAGTATTTCTTATGTTAAGACTTATTTTAGTAAATGACTGAATAATATTAAGAGTAATCACTGGAATGAAGAGAGGTGGGTGGGCGGGGCTATTGCTTGCTTATAAAGGACTCTGGTAGAAAAAGTTAAACTTAGCCCCGCCCACCCACCCGTTCTTTAATTTTTTTCTTCTGAAATAAAAAATAATTCATATAGCAATTAATTACGACAAGCACTTTTTGTAACAGCCTACATTTTATTAATTCCCATTCTCATTCGACACCCCGCCTTCATTTCGGGGATTCATTTTGTTTAGTCCGAATGAAAGGTGGATCTAACTGAACAGAAATAAAATCGTAAGAATGAGAACAGCGCGGGTGGGCGGGTCTAGTACCTGCTACGATAAGACTGATTTTGGCCAATGACATTGCTTCCAAGAAAAATGAGGGTGGGTGGGCGGGGCTAGTATTTGCCAAGATAAGACTGATTTTGGCAGATAACATACCCTCTAAGAAAACAGAGGGCGGGTGGGCGGGGCTAGTATTTGCCAGGATAAGACTGATTTTGGCAGATAACATACCCTCTAAGAAAACAGAGGGCGGGTGGGCGGGGCTAGTATTACTTATGTTGACTGATTTTAGTAAATGACTGAATAATATTAAGAGTAATCACTGGAATGAAGAGAGATGGGTGGGCGGGGCTATTACTTGCTTATAAAAGACTCTGTTAGAAAAAGTTAAACTTAGCCCCGCCCACCCACCCGTTATTTCATTTTTTTCTTCTGAAATAAAAAATAAATCATATAGCAATTAATTACGGCTAGCACTTGTTGTAGCAGCCTATATTTTATTAATTCCCATTCTCACTCGACAAAAGAACATATAATTAACCCCGCCCACCCACCTCGTCTTCATTTCACTGATTCATTTTATCTAGTGCGAATGAAAGGTAGAACATAAATGAAATCGTTAGAATGAGGACCTTCTAAGATAGAACTGACTTTCGTAAATGAGTTACTCTCTAAGAAAATAAAGGGTGGGTGGGCGGAGCTAGTACTTGATAAGGTAGGACTGACTGTGGAAAATTACATACCCTCTAAGAAAATAGAAGGCGGGTGGACGGGGCTAGCATTTCTTAAGATAAGGCTGATTTTGGTAAATGACTGAACAATATTAAGAGTAATCACTGGAATAAAGGGAGGGTGGGTGGGCGGGGCTATTGATTGCTTATAAAAGACTGTGGGAAAAAGTTAAATTTACCCCGCCCACCCACCCGGTCTTCATTTCAGTGAACAGAAATAAAATGGTTTGAATGAGAACAGCGCAGGTGATAAATGATTTACCCTCTAAGAAAATAGAAGTATGAATGAAATACCGCAGTTTTTTGGAAATTTAAAAAATGTTGATTTTGAAACCGAAAATTTCAAAAATCTAAGTCATAAGTCAACAACAGAACGTTTTGCAATTTTAATTTTTTTTTTAATTCTTGACGGCAAATAAATATGACTTTTTTAATTTTAATTCGAAACCATTGTCACACGAAAATCGCTAGAAAAAATTCTTCCACGAACTGAAGCGAACATAATTCCACAAATCCGACACACTAATCCCTACGAAAGCTTTCTGATGAAACCTGGATCATTCATCATTTGGAATTTCAAAAGAATTGTTTTTGTATTAAACGGGATTATCAAAATAACTGAAACGATAAGATAACCGGCTTATTACAAATTAAAAATTACCTCAATTGTTCTTGTCTAGTGGTATTTTGCAACACTTTCGACCGATTAAGCGATAAAATCTTTACAATTAATTTTCTGTTTTGTTAACCTGTTTGTTACAACTCACTATCGTATTTGTTAAAGAATTATCGAGATTGTTTGTATTTTTCTTTTTTATTTTCACAGACACTATTAAAAACATTATTTCCTTTGATGATAACAACAATGTTTATTCGCGCAAATACAAACACAGACATTTTCAAACAACAAAAACCACCCGAAACGCGACCTTAGCAAAAAACCCGACCTCTAACTGCAAAAAACCGGAAGCGAGCGTTCCGCGTCTCCCACGAGCCGCCGATGCACCACCTCAAAAACCGGCCATGTGCTCGGCGACGTCATCGCCGAAGCGGTTGGTCGGTCCGCCACACACCCTCGCTTTCAGCCAACCAGAATCGAAAGCCGTCCGCACACACACCGAAAAAGCGCCGCTTACCACGGAGTGCACCTGCATGTTCCTCTTGTAGCCCATGGCGACGTCTTGTTGGTTCGCGGCTCTTGCTTGGAAGTCGTGGCTCGTATCGCGGTCGATATCGCACTGTGATAACGTGGTCGCGTTCGCGCCTTCTGCGGGTCCCCGAGTGTGCACGACGTTCGAAAGTCGAGAGTTAACTGGTCGGCGCACGGCGCGCGCTGGTCAAATGTACCCAGAGCGAGCCTCCACGTCGGAGGCGCGGGATTGGTCGGGCCCAGGGGTGTGGTGTGGAGGCTGTCTGTGTGTGAGTCGTCACGCAGGCACGGATCGGAATTCCCTTCGTAATGTTGGCGTAACGTTGGACAATCGGATGCAATGCTGCGGTGGCGAAATTTCGCGCGGTGTGACGTCAGCGGGGTTCTGGGGAAGGCGGAGGACTTTGGACGGGAAATGGGAAGGGAAGATGTCTTTTTATCGGGTTTTTGAGTCAGCAATGGGTTGATCTTTACGGTACAAAAACAGGCTAATTGTACATATTAGTGGTCTTCATTACTTCGCAAAATTTTTTACTTTATACATATTACAAAATCCGGGGAAGTTTTGAGGTCGAGGGAACCACTCACCCCACTTTTAATTCTAGTGAATTTTTTTTTACCATCCACACTACGTGACATAATGCACACAACGGATTATTAACCACCAATGTCCTTATCTTTTAGACATTTTTAATATTTTTGCGAAAAACATTCAACGTTTTTGTTTCGTTTCGGTGCTTTTCTTCTTGTTTTTTTGTCGCCAAGTAAAATCTTCCTTGCATTTAACCTTGCTTTTACAATTATCATTATCGTTTTATTCATGTAGCTCTAAGTCTATGATTCACGTTAACACCTGATCTGTTTTGTTTGCATTTATGCAGATATTCAGAGTGAAATTATTGTTATGTACTGATTTATTTGAAGTTTACATTACCACTACGGAAAACCTGAGTTAAAGGTTGAAGCATAAAATTTCCCCATATGAAGATTAAAGTAGAATTGTTTTTCTAAGGTTCTCGTCAGCATACTAAATCGAAAACAATTAGTCGAAGGTTATTTCGATAGAACTTCCCTGAAGTGCGTGTTTAAAAAATTATAAAATATGAAATGAATATAAATATGAAACAAATAAAAACATTGTAAAAATCGGAAGGTTGAACGAACAATCGAAATCCCAAAAATTGAAAAATGAAGCAATAGAAAAATTTAAATATTAAAGTATTAAAAAATTGAAAAACTAAAAAATCGAAAAACTGAAAAATCAAAAACTGAAGACTCGAAAAATTGAAAACTAGATTCCTTAAATTGAAATATATCCCAAAATGAAAACCGAGATAGCACAAACGAAAAATTAAAAATCGAAAAATTGAAAATCGAAAGTTCCAAAATTGAAAAAATTGGAAAATTTTCCGGAAAATCAAAAACCAAAAACTGAAAAACCGAGAAATACATCAAAAAATTAAAAAGTAAAAAAAATTAAAAATCCATAAACTGAAGAACTGAATTGAAATATGGAAATCAAAGCCAAAAAATTGAAAAGTCAAAGCTCCGATTTTTGATTTGTTGAATTTTCGATTTTCGATACTCAAATTTTCAACCCTTCTACTTTTCGATTTTTAATTCAGAGAAATCGGAAAACTGAAAATTTGAAAATCTGAAAATCGAAATTAAAAAAATTCGAAAGGCAAAAAGGCGAAAAAACGAAACACCTAAAATTTGAAAATTCGAAATTGAAAAATCTAAATCTGAAGATTCGAAAAATTGAAAAATAGATCCCTTGAATTGAAATATATCCCAAAATGAAAACCGTGATAGCACAAACGAAAAATTAAAAATCAAAAAATTGAAAATCGAAAGTTCCAAAATTGAAAAAAATTGGAAAATTTTCCGGAAAATCAAAAATCGAAAACTGAAAAACCGAGAAATACATCGAAAAATTAAAAAGTAAAAAAAATAAAAAATCCATAAACTGAAGAACTGAATTGAAATATGTGAAATCAAAGCCAAAAAATTGAAAAGTCAAAGTTCCGATTTTTGATTTGTTGAATTTTCGATTTTTCAATTTCTCCATTCTATAGATTTTAGACTTTTCAATTTTCAATTTTTTGATTTCTCGAGTTTTCGATTTTCAATACTCAAATTTTCAACCCCTCTACTTTTCGATTTTTAATTCAGAGAAATCGGAAAACTGAAAATTTGAAAATCTGAAAATCGAAATTAAAAAAATTCGAAAGGCAAAAAGGCGAAAAAACGAAACACCTACAATTTGAAAATTCGAAATTGAAAAATCTAAAACTGAAGATTCGAAAAATTGAAAACTAGATCCCTTAAATTCAAATATATCCTAAAATGAAAACCGAGATAGCACAAACGAAAAATTAAAAATCAAAAAATTGAAAATCGAAAGTTCCAAAATTGAAAAAAATTGGAAAATTTTCCGGAAAATCAAAAATCGAAAACTGAAAAACCGAGAAATACATCAAAAAATTAAAAAGTAAAAAAAAATGAAAAATCCATAAACTGAAGAACTGAATTGAAATATGTGAAATCAAAGCCAAAAAATTGAAAAGTCAAAGTTCCGATTTTTGATTTGTTGAATTTTCGATTTTTCAATTTCTCCATTCTATAGATTTTAGACTTTTCAATTTTCAATTTTTTGATTTCTCGAGTTTTCGATTTTCGATACTCAAATTTTCAACCCTTCTACTTTTCGATTTTTAATTCAGAGAAATCGGAAAACTGAAAATTTGAAAATCTGAAAATCGAAATGAAAAAAATTCGAAAGGCAAAAAGGCGAAAAAACGAAACACCTAAAATTTGAAAATTCGAAATTGAAAAATCTAAAACTGAAGATTCGAAAAATTGAAAAATAGATCCCTTGAATTGAAATATATCCCAAACTGAAAACCGAGATAGCACAAACGAAAAATTAAAAATTGAAAAATTGAAAATCGAAAGTTCCAAAATTGAAAAAATTGGAAAATTTTCCGGAAAATCAAAAATCGAAAACTGAAAAACCGAGAAATACATCGAAAAATTAAAAAGTAAAAAAAATAAAAAATCCATAAACTGAAGAACTGAATTGATATATGTGAAATCAAAGCCAAAAAATTGAAAAGTCAAAGCTCCGATTTTTGATTTGTTGAATTTTCGATTTTTCAATTTCTCCATTCTATAGATTTTAGACTTTTCGATTTTCAATTTTTTGATTTCTCGAGTTTTCGATTTTCGATACTCAAATTTTCAACCCTTCTACTTTTCGATTTTTAATTCAGAGAAATCGGAAAACTGAAAATTCGAAAATCTGAAAATCGAAATTAAAAAGATTCTAAAGGCAAAAAGGCGAAAAAACGAAACACCTAAAATTTGAAAATTCGAAATTGAAAAATCTAAAACTGAAGATGCGAAAAATTGAAAAATAGATCCCTTGAATTGAAATATATCCCAAACTGAAAACCGAGATAGCACAAACGAAAAATTAAAAATTGAAAAATTGAAAATCGAAAGTTCCAAAATTGAAAAAATTGGAAAATTTTCCGGAAAATCAAAAATCGAAAACTGAAAAACCGAGAAATACATCGAAAAATTAAAAAGTAAAAAAAATAAAAAATCCATAAACTGAAGAACTGAATTGATATATGTGAAATCAAAGCCAAAAAATTGAAAAGTCAAAGTTCCGATTTTTGATTTGTTGAATTTTCGATTTTTCAATTTCTCCATTCTATAGATTTTAGACTTTTCAATTTTCAATTTTTTGATTTCTCGAGTTTTCGATTTTCGATACTCAAATTTTCAACCCTTCTACTTTTCGATTTTTAATTCAGAGAAATCGGAAAACTGAAAATTTGAAAATCTGAAAATCGAAATGAAAAAAATTCGAAAGGCAAAAAGGCGAAAAAACGAAACACCTAAAATTTGAAAATTCGAAATTGAAAAATAGATCCCTTGAATTGAAATATATCCCAAAACTGAAAACCGAGAGAGTCCAAACGAAAAATTAAAAATTAAGAAATTGTAAAATCAAGAAATCAGAAAATCGAAACCTAAAACCGAGAAGTCGAAAAATCGAAATCTCGAGAAATCGAAACAACAAAAAAATGTAACAATCAAAATTTTAAAAAATTAGAAAAATTGGGAAATAGAAAATTCTGAAACTAAAAATCGAGAAATCGGAAAATCTGAAATTTAAATTATCAAAAAATTGAAAAATGCAGAAATTGAAAAATTCCCAAAATTGAAATATTGAAAAACTGAGAAATACAAACTAAAAAAATCCAAACTGACAAATCAAAAATTCAACAATTGAAAAATTGAAAAATAGATACTTTAAATAGAAAAATCCCAAAACTGAAATGTCCAAAAATTGAAACATCGACACAATGAAAAATTGAAAAATCCAAAAATCGGACAGCCCAAAAATCGAAAAACCGAGACATCCAGACATTAAAAGATCGAGAAATCGAGAAGTCTAAATGAATAACCCAAACGAAAATTTAAAAACTGAAAAATTGAGAAACCGAAAAGTCGGAAAATCAACAATTCAAAAAATTGCAAAAACAAGAACCTAAAAAATCGAACAATTTAAAACCGAGAAGTCGAAAAAAGCAGTGGCGTAAATAAAAATCAAGAGTTCCAAAATCGACAAAATTAAAAAAAAATCCGGAAAGTCAAAAATCGAAAACAGAAAAATCGATAAATCAAAAAATTAAAAAGTGAAAAATGAAAAATCGAAAAACTGTAGAACGGAATTAAAAATATGAGAAATCGAAAAGTCAAAAAACTGAGGAATCGAAAAACGGAAAACTTGAAAAATAGATACCTTAAATAGAAAAAATACCGTAATGTCCAAAAATTGAAAAATCGAAACATCGAAAAATCAAAAAACCGAGACATCGAAACATTAAACGATCGAGAAGTCGAAATAGCCCAAACCAAAAATAAAAAATTGAAAAACTGGGAAATCGGAAAGTCGAAAAATCGAGAATTTAATAAATTGAAAAAACAAGAATATGAAAAATCCAACAATTCAGAAAACCGATAAATCGAAAAATTGAAAAATTGAAACATTAAAATCATGATAAATGAGAATTCGAAAAATCAATAATTATAAAAAAATCATCAAACATCTAAAAATTAAAAAATCTAAAATTAAAAAATTTTAAAAATGGAA